ATGTCCTCGCCTTTTCAGGGTGACTACAGGCCCTACCAGAAGTTGATAGAGGGTTGCTTCCTCTCCTGATGTTCTAGTCAAGGTCGTGCAAGAGAGTTCTATGGGCTGGCAGAACTACTGACATCAATAGGACCTTTCCAAATGCTCTGCCTATAAATGAAGCCATTCTGGAGTCCGCAAGATTGTTGTGGCAAATGTCATCATCTCTGCTGCTGACAGCCAAGAGAACTGAGCAAAGGTACTTTGTCCGTTCTTAGGGCTATCAACATTTCTACCTCCATCCCTCAGGTTCCTTGTGCTCTTTTGTTTACTGCCAAGACAAGCATCAGGGATGGTCTCCTTGTCCCCCAAAGGATAAAGAAGCAAAGGGACTGAGCATTTTCCATAGAAAGCTTTATTCCGCTGCTGGCCTGCAGTTTTGTGTCTCTAACTAGCATGCCTTTTTGGCTAGATACAATTTTTCCCTCTGGGGCCATGTACTGAAGTTTGCAAACAAATTGCCAGAGAATGCCAGGCAGGAGTTCCAGGCCACCTTGGAAATGGGCAAACTGGTAGCCAGGACCTTTCTCCAAGTTGCATTAGATGGGGTGGATTTGGCAGCCCGAGTGATGGCATCAGCAGAAACAATGCACAGATATTCATCACGGTTTCAGTCATTGGGTGTTCTGCAGGAGTTCCAACAGACTATCCAGAATCTCTCCTTTGAGGGATCCTACCCTCTTCTCTTAGCAGACTGGTGAGAAGCTTCAGAGTTCAAAGACTTGAGGGCCACTCTGAAATCACTGGGCATGTACACTCCTTTCCCTGAAATGAAACAGTTCTGTCTTCAGTCATACCAACGGTACCTGCTTGTCACTCCTAGACAGCCTGACTACTACAGAAAAAATCACAGGGGGAGACCTACACCTCCTCAGTTTTCTTTTGTGGTAGGGTCTTGTAGACAACCAGAAATTTGTAAGCAGCCTGTTTGAGGAACAGAATACTGGTTAGTTTTGGACCAATTTCTCCCACCTCTGTATTTCCCAACAGATTATCCTATTTGCTGTGGAATTAGGCCAAAATTACCATGGATTTACAATTACGTTTTGAGACCTCTGTTACCACGTTTTTAATCTACTTGACGTGTGCCATGTCATTTTTATATCATTATAGTTTTTTAATCAGAATTTTGTATGGTACCAAGTCAAATGTCTTAGAGAAGTCTATTATCTTTATCAACCAAACTTGTAGTCTTGATTTTAAAAAAAAATCATTAGTTTGACAGGATCTATTGTCTATAAACCCATGTTGATTTCCATTAATTACATTACCCTCCTTTAATTTTTTACTAATCGAATTCCAATTGAAGAGCTCCATTATCTTGCCACGGATGGATATCAGGCAGAGAGGCCTATAATTAGCCGGGTCACTCTTTTTAAAAAATGGCACACTAACTTTCTTCCAGTCTTCTGGAACTTTGCTTGGCTAGAACTAGGTTGTTTAAGTCATCCTCCCAGCTATTCGTGTCAGTTGCAGACGGGATAAAAGGCCTTCCAGTCTCAACCTAGAGAATCTTGTCCTGGATTTGCTCCTACTTTCATCTGCTATGACATTGCTAATGTAAACCTTCAAGACCGGGTAGCACATTCTTCAAGGTCTCGAGCCACTTCTGCAGCTTGACTGGTTGTGGTAGCTATAACAGACAATTGTATCACTGCAACTTTGGTTGTTGGTGTACACCTTTACAACTCATTACGCTGTATCTCCGCATTCTAGAGATGAGGCCAAGTTTGGTCAAGTAGTCCTTTAGTTATTGTTCAGGTACTGAAACTCATCTCCAGGTTGAACTGCTTGTGAGTCACCTGAAGTGAAATGGACATATGCAGTCACTCAAAGAAGAAAAAACGGCTACTAACCAATTATATAGCTGTTGTTCTCTGAGATGTTGCATGTGTCCATTTCTTGACCCACTCTCCTTCCCCTCTGTATAAGAATCTGTCCGGTAAGAAGGAACAGAAGGAGGTCAGAGGTGGCTCTGCTCTTTATACCATCATGCAGCAGAATGAGGCACTGGAGATTGCATGAACTGCCCCGACGAATATCATTAAGGGAAAAAATCTCTGATTTCTGGCACGCTGAGTATGCACACACCTGAATGGGAATGGCATGTGGAACTCCTCTTGAAGAACAGGTTAGTAACTGCTGTTTTTGTTGTTGTTGTCGTTGTCCCCCCGCTGCCCCCCTTCTGGCCTTGGAATCTATGAAACTATCATGGACTTCATCCGCACGAGCGGCAGCTCTGCTGTACAAGGCAGCATTCTACATATCCCAGGATACTCCTTGTAAACTTCTCTCTTTTTGTAACTGCTGGCCCAGCAAACTCCACCTGGATTTGGGAAGTTAAGCTGTGTTCTTTCCTCTTTCTCCAGCGTCACCAGTAATAAAAATTATGCAGGCCAAACTCAGACCTTATTATACTTAAACAACCTCATTGTCTTCAGTCAGTAACTGAAGATAAAATTTAACCCAGAGAACAGCAGCATTTTAGCGAAACTACACCCGACATCCTTTTAACCACACTAATTTAATTACATTACTTTAATATGTGTATTGTTTAGGGCATTTGTGGCCTTGGGGACCACACAGTTGCCTTCATGGGTGACTGAGTTAAGAAGAAAATATTCTCAAGGCACTGTAGCCTCTATTTTTGCTTTCAGCCAAAGCATCTGAAGTGGGCCATGACTTCAAGGAGATGGTAGGGACCATGGTCACCCATGTGCCTCCCCTCTAGCCCCAGGAGCAGCTGGGATGTGAGCTGGAAGCACTAATGGCTACTGTCTCCTCTGCATTTGCTCATCAGCTTGACAGGGAGAAGGGTAGCTCTGGTTTCCCCATTGTCTGCTTCACGGCTAGGCTGTGGAAGCCCCAGGGGGAGCAATGAAGGAGCTCAGCAGGCTCGGCCTTGACCTAGGGGAGCACATAACAAAGGATGGTTCCCTTCGTCCACTCAGTCCCCAGGGCAGCCCAGCAGAGGGGAAAAGCTGAGAAGCAGCCATCAATCACTACCCCATCATTCTCTGCCTTGGCACAAGTTAGAGCAACCTGGACATTGCTCTAACTTGGAATGGTTCAGTATGTGCCTGTGGCATGCTGTAAAGCAGCTGGGATTAGCCAGAATGCAGCATGCTTTAGCTGCATCCACTCCTGATATGCCCCCCGCACCAGGATATTGGAGTAAAATATATTGACTCACGGCTGCTGGGTGTTCCAAGCAAGGGGCGGCTCCCTTTTTGACACCTGAGTTAGTGCAAAGGGAGTGTGCCAGGGCAGAGAATCCTCAGGTATGAACTGTGGCCCCTTGACTTTTTTGAAATATATTTAACCTGTAGGCTGGTGGGCACCCCTGGTTTGGGGCTGGCTGATGGCATGATGACAGGACAACTTACTAACTCAACAAAAGCCATGACATTTGGAGAGCTGTTCTCTTGGCTTCCTTGCTCCAGAGGTCAAGGCTGTAAGGAATTAAGAAGACCTGGATTTCTCATTCCAGTACCTCAGACAGGCCATGGATTACAGATGTACAGTGTAGAGCCATAAGTCAGATCTGTCTCCCCCACCCTGGTGGCTTGGCAGAGTTCTGCATATTGCAAATTCTCACTTGTGTAACTTTGTACACCACCCCCACCCCCTCAACAAACACCCCTTCCCCCCACCTCCCCAATAAAAACAAAACAAAAAAAACAACCACCCATGGTGCTGTTTTCCTGCAGCTGGCTAGGATAAGTGCTATGGTCAGAGCTGTCTTTGAGTGAATACAGGAAGGGAATTAATGGGCTAATGGAAGGTGTTAGGCTGTTCTGTACAAGGATTCTCTACAGCTGAGGAAATCTGCTTTGTTTCCATACAGGTAGTTCTCCTGTGCTGGGAAAATCATCTGTATGATGCCATGATCTATGTGTACAACAGTGGAATGAATGACTTCATTAGTCCGATGGAGGTAGGAAGACTAGTCATGACCTATGCTTGTGGTACCTAATGCCGCTCTTTAATCCATCCATCTCCTTTTTGTTTCTCCCTGCACCTTTCATAGGACATTGGGAGGGATTGTTTCCATCTACATGTTTTAATTTTTCAAACTGCAGTGAGATATTGGTCTGTGCCATTTAGCACTCTTTATCTGAGGATCAGTTTGTAATGCTCGTATGTGCTGCATGTTCTTCCCTATGATTCTGAGCATGGGAGTTCTGCTGATAGCTAGTGTTCAGTGTATACAAATTCAATTCTTGCTCCTCTCTCCTGCTGTACCTAGTGTGCATTTTTCATATTTCTCTGGGAATATTCTGTGAAACTTGTTCAAATGCCTTTCTTAAATCTAAGTATACCATAAAATGTCTGAGGTATCAGTGCTCTGCTGAGTGTCAGGCCACAAACACTGGCAGATCTAATGTCTGTAAAAAATATAAAACAAAACAAGTACACAAAAACCAGATGCAACACAATAAGTAACGGTAATGTATGTTACAATCTGGGCTGCTTTGTCTACATGTTGCTCATGGCCATTCTGACAATAGGATGTAATGCACGATGATAGCATCCCATATTCTGTCCAATTGGGAGTCAGCAAGTGAGAGAATGAGTTTCTTTCTCTCGGCACCCCATTCTGTGCGGTGTCTTTTTGTCTGTTGGGAGTACCTAGTGTTTTAACGCCATCTAATGTGAATGTACCTGTGTGTGGTGGTGGTCAGAACTACAACAGGAGCAGCCTCTGCATAGTGGCAGGTTTTTAATTCTAGTATTGGGGCACAGACTACCAATACCAGGCATGTCTCCTGTGGTAGGACCCAGTAGAGTGATATGACTGAAGGCTGCATGGCAGGGTGGATAAAAATCAATGATTTTTTTTAATCCGATTCTTTTATTTCAATTGGATTTTTTTATAGTTTTTTTTCCCAAAAAACATTTATATAAAGATAGTTTTAAGATGTACTTTATAGCTCAAAGATCTCTCATCATGGAATAGGGATTATAAATTCTAATTCTATAGTATGAGACAATATATTCATGTAATGTTTAAGAAAAGTTTTGTAAATGAGTTCCAATAGTTCATGGATTAGGGACTCGATTTTATGGGGTTCCAGAGGCTTCTGTGTAGATTATTTAGATTAATCTTTTTATCTACACAACGGGACTCAGTGCTGACTCTAAAAGATACCATCAGAGATACTTAGTTTTGCAGTTCTCAAACTGTGGATTTATGTCTCCAGAGATAACATGCTTGTGAACAGCAAAAATGTTTTTAAATAAATAAATACTATATGGAGGTGAGAAATAACAGACATCAACCCTATTGTCCCTCTGCAAATTTGTGTACACAGAGTCAATCCCTTACCTCTCTAAAAGTGCAAAGTTTCAAATGAATAGAAGATTGTTGGGGGCGGAATAGATCTGGACAAGGAGAAGAAGTCTGGAGATAAATGTGGGAGGGGAGGGACAGGCAGTAGAAACAAAAGTGAAACTGTTTGAGCAGCATATTCCAGAAGCCTTGAGGTCTTTCTCAGTGTAGCCTTCATTGATTTGAGATCTACCATACCATTCTCTCACTAGAAGGGAAAAACCTATAATGGCAGCAGACCGTAAAAGAGACCCAGTTTGGGAATATTTTAATGAAGTTCCTCTACCTGTGGGTAAGACGGGCATGCGTGCAAAATGCAAACAGTGCAACAAAGAAATGCAAGGCTTGGTTACCCAAATGAAACAACAGCATGAGAAGTGTTCCTTCTCAGGAGGAAGCTGCGTTGAAGATGATGAAAGGAACATGTCTGAACATGCAGGACCTTTAGGTTGGTAAACTTTTTTATTTCATACGTCTTTCTTCAGGACTGCCTGTCTTCCTTCTGGACTATTCTTGAATTCTCATGTTTGAGCAAAAAATATAGTTGTTACTCTATGGTACTACCATTTCAGATGCAGTTGTGATAAAAAATAAATAGCTGAAATAGGCAGATCTTCCTTTTACAATTTCACCTTTAAAGTAGTACTGAGTGTCAGTGAATGCAATGAGTAATACTAAATGAGCAGTATGGTAATACTAATTAAATAACTGCATTGACTTATTTTGTTTAGGAGAATCCATCCTCAACATACAGGATTCTGAAGACTATCCACCTTCAAGATCATCATCATTTTCTATAGTTTCAGAGTTACCTGCCAATGATAGTGTTTCAGTCACATCATGTATGTCACACAGCCACAGTATATCACCTGTTGCAAAAAGAAAGAAATATCTACAACATCCAGGAACAACCATAGATAAGTTTGTGATAAGAACCAGCAGATTACAAAATGGGGTAATTGATGAAAAAATTGCCTGGTTTCTTTATGCAACAAACTCTCCTTTCCGTATGATTGAGAGCCCATGCTTCATTAACATGATTCAGTCATTAAGACCAGCATACAGTCCACCCAACAGAGCAGATGTTGCAGGCAAATTGCTGGATAAAGTGTATGAAAGAGAAATTGAGCAGTTTGCAAAAGGTCTAGAGGGTGAAATTGTTAACCTGAGTCTTGATGGGTGGAGCAATGTCCACAATGATCCTGTTGTACCTGCTTGTGTGACAACAGAAGAAGGGAATGTCTTCCTTACAGAAACAATTGATACATCAGGAAATGTACACAGAGCAGAATACTTACAAGAAGTAGCAGTAAAAGCTATAACAAACTGTGGAAAAAATTCAAATGTCTAGTATGCAGCTTGGTCACAGACAATGCTGCAAATGTATCCAAGATGAGAAGAAATTATTTAGAAGAGAGTCGCAAGCTAATATCATTCGGTTGCTGTGCTCATTTGATGCACCTCCTAGCCAAAGACTTCAGTGTTCCACAAATAAAAGCTAATGTTGTTGAAATTGCAAAATACTTCCGTATCAACCACTTTGCAGTAGCTGCTCTGAAAAAAGTGGGAGGAACCAAGCTAACGGTCCCACAAGACGTGCGATGGAACTCAGTAGTGGACTGTTTTGAGCACTATATCAAGAACTGGCCTAACCTGCTGACAGTTTGTGAACAAAGTAGTGGGGGAAAAAATGGCACTATCACAGCCCAAGTTCTCAACATTGGGCTTAAGAGAAATGTTGAACACATGCCGAGTACCCTGAAGCCTATTTCTGTAGCCTTGAACAAAATGCAGGGAAATCGCTGTTTTATTGCTGACGGTGTTGAAATTTGGAAGGAACCGAGGGAGAACTTAAAAAGAGAAATATGCAATGACAGAGTTAAATTACAAGCGTTAAAAAAAAAAAGAATGGGACAAGCACTACCTCCAGCTCATTTTCTTGTAAATAATCTCAATACTCGGCACCAAGGTCAAACCTTAACTGCTGAAGAAAAGGAGTTGGCTATGACATGGACATCCAGCAATCATCTCTCCATAATGCCAACTATAATAAACTTCAGAGCTAAGAGTGAACCATTCAAGAAATGTATGTTTGATGATGTTTTAAAGAAAGTTACATCAGTGAACTGGTGGAAGTCACTTAAGCACTTGGATTCAGAGACTGCTGAAGTGATGATCTCGCTTTTAACAGCAGTAGCTTCTTCTGGTGTAGAAAGATTATTTTCTTCCTTTGGACTAATTCATTCCAAATTGAGAAATTGTTTGGGATCTGAAAAAGCAGGAAAGCTTATTTTTCTCTTCCAGATTATGAACAAACAGGAAAATGAAGGTGAAGATGACTGAGTTAGCTGCAGAAGCCAATATTTTAAGTTTCTCATGTTGACCTGGCTGACATAGTCAATTTAATTTTTGTTGGGTTTTTTCAATATTTCATTTAACTATTTTAGTTTAAAACAATTTTAACCAAAACAAACTGATTTTAAAAAACTTGACTTTTTAAATTAAATTCATATGCTTGTTTTGTTAAAATATTATGTTTGCTGTTGAAGAAAAACATCCAGAATACATAACGTTGTTGTTGTTGTTTTTAGTTGAATAAAACAATTTAAATGTCTGTCTGGTGATGTTCTCCTCCTAATGCAGCATGGCAAGAAAATCCTCCAAATATTAATGATTAACCTGTTGAACTGGAGATAGTTTACCTCCCAGTGACTTCGTAAATATCCATTTCAATTACCTTTGGTAAATGAAATAACCAAACATTCATTCATTTTCTGATATAGCTGTAAAACTAATCTGAAAAGTTTTCAAAATAAATCGCTTAAAAATGTATAGTGTGTACCTTCTAAAAATAAAACCTACATCTATCTCTGAGTTGTGAAGAATGTCTTAAGGTTATAACAACTAACAAGAATGCACTTTTATGTAGAAATACATGATTAAATCGAGTTGCCCTGACTAGTGATTTAAATCAAATCCACCCTGCTGCATGGTGTATTCCACTTTTCTTCAAATGCTGCTCCCTATGTGTATTTCACTGTGGGTATGCATATAAGACTGGAAAATCTTTCAACTTTTGTCCATTGGTCTGTGCCTGGACCCTGGATCTCTTCGTGCTCAGCACCAAGGGCATAAGGGGAAGTGTGGATTGATCACGTCTTCAGTTGCTTCTTACAGCCTCATGACCTGAGTCAGAATCCTCTGTGTCCAGAGCTATTCTCTCATTGTCTTACACTGTTATTTTCACAGAGACTATCATTTGTTAGTGTTTATATAGTATTTTTATAGCTTAGTTTTTCCCACCGTGGGACATATTCCTTCTCCCTTTGGGACTGGAGCTGTGCCCAGAAACCCGGGCTTAAAAACCGCATCTCCTATCCTTGATCCTCCTTGGTCAATGAGGACCACCAGCACTGCCTTGGGTATGCACTTATTTCCACCAAGTGCAGTGTCTGTCACTCCTTCCCACCCAGGACACAAGAGGGAAGAGAGTGCTGACTGAGGAAGTTCCTCATAAAGAAAGCCCTGAGGCTCCAGTCAGATCCAGGCTGGAGAGACCCTCCTGCACATTGGCCACAGTCCTCAAGCAGCATGCTTCTGAGCACGAGCTGTGGAGCAGAGGCTGGATCAGATGAATCTAAAGACCTGTTGCTTCGGGCTTCTCATGAGGGTAAGGAGCATTCTCACAGACACAAAAATAGATTTCCCCCTCTGTCTGCTTCCAGTAGAAGAGGTCTCTCTGACTCCTTGCACGTGAAAATTCACCCAACTTGGAAGTCCCTTGGAGTTCTATCTGCCTAAGTCTCTCAACCTCAAAGGGAAAGCATGCAGGAAGAGGGTCTAACAGCACCAGGCCTGGTGTCGATACTGGTGCTGTCCCTCTAGCAAGTCAAATAACTGATATCCACCAGTATTGACCAAGAGTTCCAGAATGGACTGGTTTGATCCTGTAAGGATCCTCCAATCACAAAGTCTGTCGCAGCACCAGATCCGGCAGAACTAGTAACCTAGAACCTCATACTCCAGGACAGACTGGGACATTTACTACCCTGGAACTCCTCTACTTTTGGTCCTGGTTCTTCTGAGGGGTATCTTAACCCCATAAAATTATACAACCTTAAGAAGGAGTTATTCCCATACTCCATCCATGAGCTGGAGCTTCCTTCTACCACTTCTGATGGTACCAGTGGTGGAGACTGATTTGGCTTTCTGGATCCGATGTCCAGGATGAATCATCACCTCCCAGACAGGTTAGTCCGAACAGGGCTTTGAGAGTTATCTGGACCTGTCTTCTGCACAAGCATGATTACCCTCAAAGGGATTGCTGGTACCAATGCCTTGGGGCCCCCAAACCAGTCTTCAACTCCTCAAACTAGTCCTGTTGGGGTCCATGGGATCATTATGTACGACACACTGGATCTGTGTGCTCTGCTAGAGTCACATCATCCCTCTTCTCTTAGGCAACAGCATCCTGCTCTTCAGGGGTACGTGGAAGCAGACAACGACAAGCTTGTACCGACAGGCTTATCTTCATCTTCTTAACCCAATGAGGCTATTCCCCCATCTTCACCTAACTCAGAGGTATAGGCAATGTCAAGAATAGTTGCCGACGATGGTGGCAGAACTTCAGATCCCATTAGAAGTTCAAGATATGCAGCATGAGCTCTTGGATATCCTGCAGCCAATGGCACCCAGTTGGATAGTTATCCCAGTGAAGAGGCCATTACTAAACCACTACAGTGATATGGCATATGCTGGCAATGTGTACCGCTACCCCTGCAAGGGCTGAGAAAAAGTCCTTTGTAACTGCAAAAGGGGCAGAGTTCTTGTTTACCCATCCTGCCCCCAACTCCCCAGTAGTACAAGGAGCCGTGGAAAGATCCAGGCAACACCCTAAAACCACCTCTGCGGACAAGGGAGCGAGATACCTGGACCTTTTGGTATTTCTGTCCACCAGCCTCTAGTTCAGAATCTCTAACTACCAGGCCCTGTTATCGATATATGAACTACTTGAAGTTTCTGGAGGTCAAAGACAAACTCCCCCAAGTGGACAAGGCCCAATTTTAAACCCTTGTTAAGGAAGGTAGACTCATGGCCAAAACCTGATAGCAAGCTTCAGTGGATGCAGTCAATATCACATCAAGATCTATAGAGACCATAATGATGTAGTGAGAGTAGTGGCTTCAATTGTTGCGGTTCTCCAGAGAGGTTCCATTAATACCATTAAGAACTTGCCTTTTGATTAAACCAATCTCTTCAATGAGAAAACAGATGAGTCTTTGCACTCACTAAAAGAGTTCAGGACAACCCTCCACTCCCTGGATCTTTATACCCCTGCCCCAAAGAGGAAGCATCATAAACAGATGTACAAGTGAAAACCTCTTCCACAGCCTCTTTACCAACGACCATACAAACCACCATGCAAGCGTCAGAGTGCAGAGGCCAAGTAATACAGCTCCATCCACCTTATCAGCCACCCAATCTGATCCACTGGCTAAAGGTTACTTTTGATGGGATGCTTGAGAGTTGTGACCAATGTTTCCTCTAATTTTTTCCATCGATGTGTGGAATGTATTTTATGATGTGCACCATATCAAGGTAATATGCAGATGTGCACCACCAATAGAATCAAAAAGCCTAGATATGATATATCGATATTTTAAAGTTACCATAGAGATAATTACTCCAGCCAGGTCAGGCTTGGCATTTTAGAACTCACTACTCAAAGAATTAAATTTAAGCGTAAGAGAGAGAGAAATTATGAAATGCATAGCCCAGTCAAAAAACTAAAACATGCTTTGAAAGAAGTATCAAGTAACAACAATAATAATACAAGTATATGTTGGGAGGTGAGGGTGAAAGACCTGAGTGTGTGTGAGAGAGAGACTGTGTGAGAGAGAGAGAGAGAGACCCGCACTGCCCTTTTAAGTAGATCAGCACTCAGCAGTCTGAAGCATGCTTGTTCAGACACAGCAACAGCTGCCAACAAGTTCCCTCCGTCCTGAGCCCTGTCAAATTCCACCCCTGCTCTGTGGAGAATGGGGTACAGGGCGGGGGTAGGAGGACACCCTGACATCAGCGCTTCCCTGCCACCACTTCTCCCACTCTGCACAGCAAGCAGGAGGCTTCCGGGAGCAGCTGGCCAGAGTCTCCCAGGCAGAAGACAGGAGCAGGACGGCAGTGAGGGGAGGGACACCTGAAGTGCACGGCACTTGATAGCCTGCTGGGTGGCCACCTGGCCGCGCAGCTTAGAGGGAACTTAAGTTGTGACCTTACAATGATGCCATCCTCACTTGTTTCCAAAGTCTGTTATTGTACTTTGCCCACAGCTGGGGAGATATAACAGACAGGTGGATACTAGATGTCATCCACTTTGGCAACACTGTTGAATTACATTTCCCAGATCCTCCAAAAACCCTTTCCTGCTTTTGGTCAGGGGGCCACTGTCACAAGGAGATCCTCTGATCCTCCAGCAGGAGGTGAGACTTTCTTCTCAAGCAAGGAGCTATAGAGTGAGTGCTACCTCAGCATATAAGGAAGAGGTTTGACTCCCAGTATTAAATCATGGTTGGGAAGAAAAAAGGAAAGAGGATGCCCATTCTCGACCTACATCAGCAAAATATTTTTATTCCCAAATTCATGGTTAGGCTGGGATCAGTAATTCCCTCTTTGGAGGAAGAAACCTGGTTCTTAGCTCTCAACATGCAAGATGCTTACTTTCTTGAGGACATTCAGCTATCCCACAGAAGGTTCCTCAGGTTCTGGTAGGATGGGAACAATTGCCAGTTCAGAGTACTCCAGTAGGGTCTGGCAACAGCACCCAGGAAGGTTGTCTTAGTAGTGGCAGCACAGCTGAGAGAAAGCAGCTACAACGCCATCTTCCTATACTTGGATGACTGGCTTCTAACAGGCAGCTCTTTGAGTGATGGTCCCTATGAGTGTTCCACACGTGTGCTCTCAGTTTGAAGCACAAGGAGAACTGTGCATGTACAGACCAATGGACACTGCTTACTAAAAATTTCCAAATTCAGGTGCATGGTGCACATGCATATCTGTGTGTGGTATACAGATAAGGACCACACATCTTGAAGAACTCCAGTTACAGGTAAGTAACCTCTATTTCCTATCTGGAAGTTCAGTCAGCAATCATGTTCTTGTACCATCTCCTGACATCTTTGGAAATCTGCATAAACATGGAAAAGTCTGCTCTAAGTCCCATGTAACTCATACATTTTATAGGGGAAACCATGGACTCAGCCACAGGAAGGGCCCACCTCCCTGCAGACAGATTGTATGTTGTGAGGAGTCTGATTTAAAAAAAAAAAAAAAAGTCCCTCTCAAACACTGAACAATACTCCAGATCCATCTTTCTTTTTAAGGTCACATGGCCTCCTGTGCTTGTGATGCCATTCAACAAATCTATTGTCTTGCATCATGATCACTGTAGCCACAATCTCCGTCAATGTCAGGGCTTCACTCATCTGGTAGATGAACCCGAAACACATACGATGGAGTCTCTTTCCTACCTCCCACACCCAGGATGTTGGTAATCATTCACTCATTCCTCTTAGATTGTGGAGCCCACATGGGCAATCAGATGACACAAGGTAGGCCAGGATGCATAGCAATCTCTTGGAATTTAAGGGCAGTCAGACAGATATAGTGCACCCCAAGTACTCCTACCTATCCTGACATGCCCAGATAATGTCAGACAACATGACTGTCTTCTGTATAAATAAACAAGGAG